AATTACAAAGACCATGCTTTGAATCAGTATTGTCCTTGGCACTTTGGAGAGGTCTTTGACAGCACACTTTCCCAGTGTAATCCATCTCATGATCTTTTGACTGCTGGTATCAAAGGTGTTGATTGTGGATTCGAGTAAGATGAAATCATTGACAACTTCACTCATCTCCATTGATTATGATGTTGCCTGTTTTCTTGATGCTGAGATGACCATGTTGAAGGTTGTAGTCCTTGATCATCAGCAGGAAGTGTTTCAAGTCCTTGCTTTCAGAAAATAAGGTTATGCCATCTGCATAGCACAATTTGTTGAGGAGTCTTCTTCTGGTCATGTTGCCACACTCTTCTTGTAAAATGCAGTTTTTCAAATGATTCACTCAGCATACAGATTGAATAGATATGGAGAAAGAATGCAACCCTGATGCACGCCTTTTCTGATTTTAAAACATGTAGTAGTGTTCATTTGCTCTATTTGGAAAACAGCTTCTAGATCCTCCAGTTTCCCCTGTCCAAGACACTTGGTTATTTTTCCCTATGTGTTTTGTGATAGACTTTAATACCTCTGCATAAAAATGTTGTCGAGGCCAAATGTTGACACCAAAGGCTAAGGATGACTAGTCAAATCCACCCATCAGAGGATGGGACTGTCATTTGTTTCTGAAAGGGCATAGCTTTGAAAACCTTTTGGGACAGTTCTTCTCTTCACTTGAGGTCACCATAGATTGTAATTGGTGTGGTGACACTTAATAACAGCTTCCCTCTCTGTCCAGAAGTCTGTTGCTCTCAAACTTGTCCTTGCTGTCAGTGGACCAGTGCTGTTTCCAGTATGGTTGGCGGACAGATACTGAATGTGATGATGAAGGTGCAGGGATACAATTGCCAGAGCCTCACTGAGGACTGCTTGTGTTAGTTTCCTGTCTGAAGTGGAGACTAGAGCTGTACCGTTTCAACGTGATTTGATCCAGGACACACTAGCTAGTTCCTGGCACAGCAAGTGCCCATTACTGGCCATTCATCCCATGGGCACAGCTACGCTGAGACCAGGATGTCTCAGGTTTGTGTTGAACTTTCCAGTGTGGACTCTGACCTTGCTTCACAATGCATACAAAGTCTTCAGAGGCCCTCTCCTCCTTACACTGTGAACAAGTTACTCATAAACTATTTCAGAGGCCAGAAAGAAGGGAAGCTGTCAGCTCGTCCATCCATGTGCTGGGCGTGGTATTGTGAAGCACATCAGGCAAGGACAGAGTCACATTGCTTAGTGCTTGTAAGCACAGATGGAAAGTGCGTTGACTAAAGAGTAAGCTATTGTTTTCATCCCAGTAACCCAAGACACCTCAGAGTTAGAAAATCTTACTGAAATTCATTACATTAATACATCAGTGAGAGAGAAATATACATGTAAACTAAATAGATGCAGAAACTTACTTGGAAAATGCACTACTTTTATGTGATAAAACTCAGCAGACTGTGTATACCATGATTCCTGAGTGTCCTAGACACTGAGTAGGGGAATTTAGACTTACTCTAATAAAAAACAAAGATACTGTTTTTACCTCAACTTCAGCATGGGCCTGAGCAGGTTCAAAAGCAAATAAATGACATATAAGCAGAAGTAAAGGAGAGATAAAACTATCAAAATGAGTGAGATTTAGAGAATAAATCTGCAGGTAATTATCACCTCTTGAATTTGTTAGGCAACTATTTAGCTTATTTTTATCCATTCATAAGTGGGTTTTTTTGTAGTATAAGTTTGCAATCAAGGCCAACAAACAAAAAGCAGTATGCAAAAAATCCTTTTCCATACCCAAAAGGATCAAAAAGGAAAAAGCATTCACAGTAGAAATAGAAAGAAAAGTTTCTTTGGGATAAAATTAACCAGAGATGTGGGGAACTTGCAAAGAGGGAATTAGGGACTAGAAGTAGATGAGAAACAGAAAGATAAAAACATCATTTTATATTTAATTTTTCTAGTTCTAAAAAGGTAAATTTTGTTTTTTTTAAACGTCTGAATCATTCAAGGTTCTTCACCTGTGAATTGACAGCCCATAGTCAGAGCTACCGCCTCCGTAAAGCATTTACCTATTTATTATTGATTATAGGACTTTTCTTATAACTTTGGACATTTGTCTCATATTTTATAAATGCTTCACTTAAGACTACCTTTTTTTGACTACTGTTTAAGTTTATGGTGTCTGGTGCTATAGAGAAGTTTAAGATTTTTAATATAATGAAATGAAGTAAGTTAACATTGTGCAAATGGCAATATCAGTAGACAGAAGTGATAAGGGAGATTCTTCAGGAAGAATGTTGCTCTGCTATTAATGCAGATTCAGGAATCACTAATGCAGAGAGCGAATGTCTGTACCGGAAACAGACACACAAGTTATGAGGGGGCATTATGATTGTGTGCCAGCATTTGACATGCAAGCAAGCACACACTGGCTCATTGATGCCCTGGGGGAAAACCTTAAGTGTCTACTACAGAATTGTGCTCCAAACCCAAAACCTCTGTTGCCAGTTCCATTTGGACTTAGAGTAACTTTTAGGAAGGACATAGTGGAACTGCCCCATAGGCTTTGTAAATCTTTATGTTCATGGAGTTTTTGATGAAGAAGGTGGAGAAAAGATTGGAACTGTCAGTGATTTATCTTACTGAGATTCATAATTAGCATTCTTGGCACTACTTCAAGAGATCAGGAGGTGTATTGCATGGGGAAAGTCTGCAGTTAGGAACATCTGCAAATTACTGTGGAGCAATGATGTCAGTTTGAGGACTTAGGTGCGTCTGATTCAGTCATGGTCTTGTCAATCATTTACTGTGTGTTTAAGAGCTGGATAATGAGTGAGGATGACAGAAGAATTGATGCCTTTGAACTGTGGTGTTAGAGAAGGGTACTGAATATCCCTTGAACTGCCAAAAAAACAGAGTATCTTCTTGGAGAAAGTACAACCAGAGTGCTCCTTGGAGTTAAAGATGACACAACTTTGTCTCACATGTTTTGAGCATGTTGCAAGGACAGGCTGTTCCTTGGAAAAGAACATGATGCTTGGAAAGGTGGAGGGACAGTGACAGAGAGGAAGACCCTCTACCAGGTAGATTGTCAGAGTGACTGTAGCAGTGGGCTTGAGGATGGCCCAGGATAGGACAGGATTCAGGTTTGTTCATAGGGTCATTAAGAGTCTTACTTTACTCTGTGGCACCTCACAACAAGTAATCTTTCTGAGGGGTCTCCACAGGGAGTTGCACTGCTAGCCCAAAGGCGGCATGTCTCTAGGGGTGTGACTCCTGTGTGAGTTACAACTACCTGAAAACCTGCTAGAGAGTCAGCTTTGAGTCAGTTCCGACTTGTTGGTGATGAGTTGAGTGTGAGATAATCTTTTGGTTAGTAGGCACTGTGTTGTAAGGGCTCTTTACACTCATTTCAAGTATAAATAGAAGATTGGAGATATTAGTAGCATTATTGCATTTTTATAAAATGTGTCACTATTCAAAACCCCCAACTATCCAAGTCAATTCCTGCTCTAGTGACCCTGGACAGAGATGTGCCCCATAGCATTTCCAAGGCTGTAAATCCTTATCCACGGAAATGGTCTCATTTTTCTCCCTCAGAGCAGCTAGTAGATTCTGTCTGCTAACCATTTAGTTACCAGCCCAATACTTAATGCACTGCATCACCAGGATTTTAATGACGACATGAATAGACACTAAATGTCCTTTAACAGAAGGTGAATTAAGTTAATGCATAAGTATGTACATGTGCAGTAATGATTCTGAAAGGATGCACACAAATGTGGCCTTTGATGGGTGATGGGCTTTTAAGAGGCTGCATTGTGACCTTATTTACATACCTGACTGTCTTAGCATAAAAGATTTTGATTTAAGGGTTTGTTGTTAAAATCGCTTCCCTGGCCATTGACTGACTGCTATGTGGATTGGTGGGAGTATGCAAATAAGGGGTGTTAGCCTTTCCACAGGGCATTGACTACTCTCACTGCTAAATTGAATGTATCTATACCAGCAAAAAGGCAGCAAGAGAATACAGGGCATCCTTCAGAGTCAGAGATTACTTGCACAAGCCAGACTAGGACCTACCCGAACAGCGGCCGTAGCAGTCACAGTCGAGAGAGACCAGGTGTGAGACAGAGCTGACCTTGGGCCTTGGGACCCCAAAACCAGAGCCAAGAGCCTTTTGCCCAGGTTTGTTGGAGGGCTGGTGGTGGTGATGGGGAGCCATAATTGGCAGGACCAAGATATTTGTAACACTGGCTTAAAGCCACGAGTCTCAAGGCTGAGGTGCCTGCAAGCACATTTCAGAAGTTGTCCTGACTGTGTTCTGTTTCTGACCTGATTTGTAGCCTTTTGGCTTCCCCAGTATGGTTCTCTGTGGTCTGTGAGCTATCACATTGGATTTTGGACCCCTTAAAGCAGTTAAGATTGATGTTGGGATGAGTAGAAAGAGGGACAGGAGCATGGGGGACATGTCTGACCTCATGGGAATTGATTTTGTGTTGTTGATGGGGACTAACTGTGCTTGTGTCCCACCATTCAGTGGCCAGTTAGCTGTGATGGCCTTTTTTCCACATTGCTGGTGCTGAAAGCTCTGCCTGTAGTAGTCCTTTGAACTGATCAGGGAAGATCCATCCCTGGAGGAAGACAATAGGTGTGGTAGAAGGTCAGCCAAAAGATGAACACTCTCAGTGAGGAAGATTGACACAGTGGCTGCCGCCATTGCTGCAAATACCCTGATGTCACAATAGTGATTATGAAAATGGGGCAGAACCGGGCAGTGTTTTGTTTTGCTGTTCATGGGATTCCCATGAGTCAGAATTGACTTGCTGGCACCTAACAAGGACAGCATGTTCATGCAGTGTGTTAAATGGTGTGTCCATCTTATGAATAGCAGAATTACATGAAGAATATGTGCTATAGAAACAGAACTGAAAAAAAAAATAAAAAAAAAATAAACAGAACTGATTGTGGCTTTTCTTTCTCCCTTCTAGAATTTAAATGAATATGTCGATGCATTAATTACCTTGAAGCAAAAGATTATTAATACAGAGTAAGTATATTTGTGTGCATTTCCTAGAACTTTTTGGTACCAGGTACTTAACCTAGACCAGGTGGTTTTGGTGTCTAAAATAGGACCTCCAACTTCTGGCTTCCCAGTGGTGCTGATTTGTATGAAGCCCCCACATGGTCATTTATTACATCTGTTGCACAGAGCCTGGACAGAGCTTATGCCTAACATACTGTGAAAGTTGCTTTTAATGTAGCAGATTTTCCAGAATAACAAAGTAACCCATGTTTTTTTTCTTTGTTACAGTAATTTATTAACAGAATATCAGAAGAAATGTGATGATATCCTTTTAATGGCTTTTTCTTTTGCATTTATTTGTTCATTGTTTATAATTTCTTTTATGTGAGGGCAATATGTTTCCAAAGCTGTCTATCAGAAAAGGTGATTATAATTGAGTCCACTGCCATCAAACCCATTCTGACCCGTGGCCCCACAGGACAGAGTAGAACTGCCCTGAGTCTATGGGAAGGAGCCCTGGTGACAGAGTCCACAGCGTGCTGTGCTGCTAAGAGACTTCCAGTGTCTGGTGGTTTGAAGCCACCAGGTACCCTGTGAAGAGTCTCTGCTCATTAGGATTCACAGCCTCGGAAACCTGATGAGCCAGAATTGAAGCAGTGGCAGCGTTTGAGTCTCTGGGAGTCGACCGCCTCCTCTTTCTCCTGAGGGTACTCCTAGTGACCGTGCAGGACAGAGTGGCACTGTCCCATGGGGTTTCCCAGGGTGCAGATCCTGCCCAGCAGAGACTGCCTTATCTTTCTCCTTCCTCCTTCATTATGGCTGGACTGATTTTGTAAAGCACAAGTATGTACTATATTGTGATATAAGTACAGGAATTCATAGTGGGGAAAAAAAAAGAAAGGTGCTATTATTCATTTTTTTGCTACCTTAGAACCTCCTACTGGGAACATGGGATTAGGATACTTGATTATCAAATTGTATAAATTGCACTGATCTTGTAAATTGTAAAGATGAAGGGTTATCTTGTTTAATGGTCTCTCTTTCTTACTGCTCTGTTCCCTAACTCATAGCTGACCCTCCATTGGGTTTCTCAGCTGTAAACCCCTCCATTTGTAGAAGAAGATAATACCCACCTTTCTCCTGAAGAGCCTCTGGTGGATTCAGACTCCCAGAGAGGGGTGACCTTGGGGGTGGCAGCACAGTGCCTTTTGGAATGTGCCACCAGAGCTTACTGAACACTCTTTAAGTGCATTTATATATAATTTTGGCAGATACATAAATCTTATTGCTGAAATTTTCCCTGATCTAATTGAGAAATGAAAGAATTTCTTTTTTTTTCCCTTCTTACTGTGTACTATCGAATCAGATCTCACTGGCACAGGGGGTGGGGGGTGGGGGGGCATTACCCTTCCTTCTCCCGCAGAGCATCTGGTGGATTCGATGTTTGCACCTTCGGATTGCAGTGCAGCTTCTTGCCACTAGGCTAGCAGAGGTCCCTTGTTTTTTTTAAATGATAATTTGTTGGGGGATTCTGAGATATATAGATAGATATAGATATAGATATGGATATAGATAGATACGTATATATAAAATATTTTTTTGTTTCATGTTGCTTTAGCTTTATCCATGTGATTCCATCCCACTCAGAAATATTTAATTACAAGTCTTTTTTCAAATGTAGATACTGACTTTTGGTACCTATAAAGATAAATGGAACTAACTTAGTAAAATAAGATTTGAATATTTGAGGATTTATGATCTCGTGTGTATGCAGTGAATGTTGATTTTCATATCTACTTAGAGAGCTTCCTCTGCAGTCAGATGTTAGCCCATCAGATTTTCCTAGTTTTCTTTAACAAGTTCTACAGCTGCAGTTCGCCAGGAGGTAAGTCCCTTCTTTTTACAGTTAATAATGCTTTCTAACTGGGGCCTTGAGTAGGGTACACATTTATTAGAATAGGTTTTTCTGACATATTCAAACAATATAGCTACTTTGAGCCTCATAGTAAAAGATGGCTTTCATTTTTCTTACCATCAGATCGTTCAAGTGATTTTATTAAGTTCTTCAATTACTCTGTAGTAGCCTATGTTTCAGTAACTTATTGACATCATTACCTGGAGGTGGAGCCATGTTATTGTTGCTGTTATGTGCCGTCGAGTTGTTTGCAACTCATAGTGACCCTATGTACAACAGCCCTAAACTCTGCTATGTCCTGTGCCAATCGCACTGTCTCTGACACACCCATCTGATTACCCTCATCACTGAATCAATCCACCTCATAGAGGGTCTTCCCCTCTTGCGCCGTCCCTCCACCCTTCCAAGCATGATGTCCCTCTCCAAGGACTTGTCCCTCCTTACAGCATGTCCAAAGTATGTCAGATGAAGCCCCAGAATCCTTGCCTCCAAGGAGTAGCCTGCTTTAACCCTCTCCCGGATGAATCTTTTTGTTTTCTTGGCATACTATGGTACATTCAATACTCTTCTCCAGCACCACAGCCCTAGTCATTGTCCAACTCTCTGATGCGTAACAAGTGATTGCAAAGACCGTAGCCTGTATCAGACGCACCTTAGTCTCCAGAGAGACACCATTGCTCTTCAGTACGCTGGAGAGGAGGTGGAGCATAGTGATGTTAAATTGTCATTGCATATGTGAATTAGGCCATTCGATGTATTTATTTATCTTAAATTATTGCAAACAAGTTTAAATCATCCTACTTCAGATTTGTAAGGCTGACACAGGATTGAGCATGCTCCATCCTGTTGTCCATAGCTCTCAGGGAGTCGTAGGCAACTCAGTGACCCCTGACAGCAGCATCAACACTTAAAATTTGAGGAATGTTTCATTTTCTGGCTACATTTTTCATTTAAGAGAAGGCAAAGCATCGTTATAATCTGAGATTACAAAATCACTTTCTGTAATTTGAAAAATGGAAATGGGTTCAGGACTGGAAGAGTTGGGCTGTTTGGCAAATCATTCTTGAATAGGCCCTTTACATGATTTGGAACCGACTGTAATTATATCTCAAGTTGATTTTTTACATCTTTTACTAAGATATAGTCTTAAGTGCCACAGAAATGAAAAGCAACTTGAAGCTCATGTATAAATTGGAGGAAGTGATTTAATATAGAGAAAAAATTATTTTCATTTCTTCTCTTTTGTAAATTAGAAATAGCACGTAAGTGCCGTAGAATGAGACCTTGTTGTGTTCACAGTATACGTCTTTGCATTGTAATGTTAATACATTGTCCATTTTCAGAGAGAATAGTACTCTTCATCACCAAGTGGAACAGATGCTTCAAAAAATTTCACCTCTGCAGAAATGTCAGGAAGAGCTGGGGTCTTTAAAAGCAGAGCTCGAGGAGAAAAAGGTACTCGGGGCTGCTCCCTGCAGAGGGATTTCCTGCAGAGATGTCTGCATGCTCACTGTAACCAGCACTGGGAGAAGCTGTGTGGGACAGCAGAGGACAGAGTGTGCTCGAGGTTCTCAGTATATGGCCCTAGAGTGCTGTGCCAGTTGCTTAAGCTTTGTAAGAGGCTCAAATCAGGAGACATTTTATTGATTTTTGTGATTCCGTGTTTTTGCTTCAGTTTTAGTTTTGCCACAAGCATAGAGCTACACACAGAATTTTATGCTTGGCAAGAAACATTGTGTGTCTATGTTTTGGGAGATAGAGGGAGGGAGGGAAGAGAGAGAGTGCATACGCTTGTCCATGCATGTCCTTCCTCAGGGCTTTTCTGAGGGAGCGCTCAGACGTAGGTGCACCCCCTTCACTTACTTGCTGACATTATATGCTCTTCTCCCAGAGACTGTGCTAAAGGGAAGCATCGGGCCAGGGGTGCCTCCTTCATATTGGCATAAACAGATCAGTTTATCACCTCTTATTCTTCTTTTCGCACTCCAAGGTAGTAAAACACTTTAAGTGCTATAAACTTGCTTTTATGTTGGCGTAGTCATAAGAAGTTGCCCTGTAATCCAAAAGGGACACTGTTTGAATCCACCAAGCTTCTCTGCAGGACAGTCTCCTCTTGTGCGATTTACTGTCTCTGAAAACCCCTGGAGGGTCAGCTGTGAGTTGGTTCTGACATGAAGGCATTACAACAACAACGATAGAATCATGGCTTCTACAGACAGACTGTAAGAGTGTGTGGTTGGTGAGGTGGGCAGCCAGGCTGGAGTGGTTGTGGCTTTTCTCATGATTACTCGTGCCACTGCATTTCAGTACTGCCAGCGTCCTGTCCTGTGTTGGGCGGTGGTGAGTCAGAACCGACTCATAGCTGACCCTCCAGCTGGTTTTCAGAAGCAGCCAATCGCATGGGAAGGGGGCGGCCCATCTTTTTCCCCGTGGAGCGGCTCATAATTATAAGCACATGCCTATGACTTGGCAGTGCAGGGCCTTACCAGTGCAGGGCCTTACCAAGCCATCAGGGTTCTCTAGTGGTAGCTTTTCTGTGGCTGTAGAATTTCCTCTCTGGGTATTTTAATGATGTAGAGAAAGTTAATTATCCACACTGTTGAGGTGTGTCTGGCTCTGATTGTATAATAATCTTTGTTTTTCCCTTCTAGAGTTCCCTTAAATTGTATCAAGAAACACACCAGGAATACGCTCGTGTGAAAGAAGAGTGCTTGAAGAGTGACGCTCAGTAAGTGTGTGCACAGTGACTGAGGGGGTCCCTCCCGCTCACTCCCAGGAGCCACCTGTGAAGCAGTAGTGTGTCCCTTGTCTCTGGTGGGGGCTTCTTGATCATAACTGTTTGGTGGGTCTTCAACTAGTGTGTCACTTTTCCTTGGTTTCTCTGGCTATAAATGAGAGTAACACGGACATTGAAGAGTATACTGCTGTTAGATGCCGACTCATAGCAACCCCATGCAACAATAGAGCTGTTCCCATGGGACTTTGTAGGTTGCAGTCTTGACAGGGACACATTGCCTGGCCTTTGTTCTGTGGAAGTGCTGGGTGGGTTCGGACCGCCCTCTTGATAGCAATCAAGAACTTAGCCATTCGGCCAGAGGGCTCCCTTGGAGAACTAAGGAGGAGTAAGAAAGCCACCATTTGTTACAGGCTGGCAGTATACACGTGTATATCTGCATGTGTGCATGGTGTTTGCATATTAAGAGAGTGAGTATGGATTCCTTTCTCTGTATCAGCACTTGGAAAGGTGGTATATTCCTCTGTTGGTGTGTACCTGTTTCCATGAACAAGAAGGCCTGTTTAAAAGCACCTGATTGATATTCCTGTTTTAACATGGTCACAAAAGAAACTTGTGAGCTGCACATGCAGTGCTTTAATTTATGGTCGATGTGATAAAGCAGTGACTTTCAGACTCTCCAAAGTCCCTCATTACTCTCAAAAATCCACTTTGGATTAATGCATTTCCCAAGCCCCACCTCAGTAAGTACTGTCATCTGAATTGGTGTACAGTGGACCCATTATTGCTCCTGAAATTAGCACAGGCTGGTAGGTTCTGCCCTGAATGGTGGTGTTGCCTCAGGACAGCTGTCTCTTCTGCTCATAGATGGCCAGTCGCTTCTGGGGAGTTAACTGATTCAGGTTAGCTCCCAGCCTTTGGGTGGTACACCTTAGAAGATCCAGGCCGTTTCTTAAATGACAGACTGCTGTAATCCATCTGAGAAATCCTCAGTTCCTCAGGCTGTTTCTAGCTCTTCAAGGCCCTCCCCAGGTTTCTGAGGCTGGACATCTTTGGGGGAGGACATCTTGCTTCCATGCCTGGTGGCTTCCACCACTGATATTTCAATGAGCAGCTCAGCATGTAATGCATTCCGCTGCCTGAGTGCCTTATTTGTGGAGTACTGTGCACTAAATACAGGTTTCTTCTGTTTTATAAACACTGCATGATGAATGATAACATTGTTCTTTCTTAGGTGGCTGGAAGTTTATTTTATGAGGGATGCTAATGAGGACTAAAGGTTTTAGTTTTTAAAAATTGTTATTTGTGTGTGTGTGTGTGTGTGTTTGTGTGTGTGTATGTAACTGTCAAATCTGTACTGACTGGTAGAGGAGGAGATTGCCCCTCCCTATGCAGCAGAGCATCTGGTGGATTCAAACCGTGCACGTCTGGGATTGCAGTGCAGCTTCTTGCTAGTAGGCCACCAGAACTCCCTGGTTTTTAAACATTTTAAAGACTATATCCTACACATTGAATTGTCATATATGTATATACCCTCATGCAGTTTCTTACCATCTAACTTGTAAAATTATTAGGAAGAAGAAACTCGAAGCCAAGGTGAAGAAACTGGAAGGTAATTGGCTCTACTGTTACTTGGTAATGCATGGCGTTTGTGGTTGCTGAAATCGTTCATTTGTAACTGAGCGTCGAGGTCTGGGCCGAGCTGTTCAGTTGCTGTGATTTTTCCATGGTGTTCCTGCGGTACTAGACGTTAAACTGTGCACGCACTGCAGGTACTCAGTAGCTAACCCCGCAGCCCGGTTGCCTGCCATCAGCTCAAGTCCAGCTTCATGGCCATCCACACGTTCTCCAGTGGGTTTTCAGGGGGAGACTGCCAGTGCACAGAGCGTCAGGGCTTTTTCCAAGTGTGATGTGCAAAAGTAATGAGACAAATCCCTGAATGGCTGTTAAAGATAACTTTAGATAAAGATAATGCATACCTTTGCTATAAAAAGTGGTTAATGAAAAGATTGGATCTCGAAGGTCAGTCTCCTTTCCCGCTGGTGCAATGGTGGTTTGTAGAAAAGCTCACTCTGTCAGCGGGCTTAGAGTGGTAGGACAGGTCTGTGAGACGTTCTGTTGGACTTTACTGAATGGCACTGTGACAGATTTGAACTACATGCTCTGTTTCATGCCATCCTTTTTTTGGTACTTCTCATCTTCAGTGACCAGGAAGAGGGCAAAGAGGCGGCATGCTCATCCTTTCAGTTCTCCAGTTCCAGCTGATAACCCTGTTAGGAATCACCAGAATTGTACTTAAGACCTTATCTTTTCTCCTTCATTGGGAGAAAATCAGGGAAACACAAGTAGAGGCAGTTGACTTTGCCAGACCCACCCCTTGCACTAGCTCTGATTTCAGCCCGACATCTGGCAGTTCTGTTGACTACCGAAACCCACCCACATGGCCATTGCATTGATGCTGACTGCTGGTGATCCTGTGTGTTTTGAAGTAGGCAGCTCCGTGGCCTTTTCTTGATGGTTATCTTTACAGAGGCACAGTCGTCTGACTCCACTGTGTATGTTCAAAGCTCCAGCCTTGACTTTGCCACCTGGGGCCCACTCCTGCAGGTTGCAGGCATTGAAATGGACAGTTCCATCCTACCACAGTCTGCTTCAGAAAATGGGTCATTTACATCCAGTGTGGAGCAAGAATGTAAATAACTGGATCAAAACTGAAGAAGAACGGTTGTTGATGGTCTTCCTAGGCACTGATTTCTCTGAGTTTTCAGATTTACCCATTACAGATATTTTACTAAGAGTTTCTTCTTTGATGTGGTTGTTGCATAGCCATTGGCATTCTGGTGGTAGGCACCACTTTGCAGGGTTCTGTTCTGGTGCAACCCGCTCATGTCTGTGTGTGTCGGTAGAGCTGAATTCCTTTAAGAACACGATCTGAAAGACCCCTGACATGGCAGCCAGCTGATGTGAAGTTTATGCAGTAGCTGTCCATTTGGCAGCAAGAGTTTAGCTTTTGTTTCTCACTGAGCATCATTATTTTCTCTAGTGAACAGTTGAGCATAAAAATCAAGTAAAGGGGTCCAGCTTGTTAGAGGGTTCAGGGCAAGGGTATTGATTTAGTGTTTATGGAATCTTTTTTCCATAATAGGGTCTCTCAGCATCTTCATGCAAAATCAACACCAGTCAGATTCAGTTTATCTGAGTGATTTGGCGCTTCTGTCATCAACATGGGAGAAATTATTGAAGAGCTATACAAATGACTTGAAAGCCAAGATCTTTAATAGGCACCTAAGGACTTAGAGTTACTTAGCATGTGGAAGAAGATTTCAGGAAGGTGCAATCCACTTTGTAAAGTGTGTTTCAAAGCTTAAGCAGTGAAAAAAACTTGTAGTAGATGAGCTTTTGAGTATTTAATTGATCATGGTAGTAAAATTGGAAAATTACTTTTTTCTCTGTTGCTTCATTGAACTCGTAAATAAAGATGCCGCCTCCAAGCAAAGTCAGGACTTCAAGCAACTGAGAAATGAGAAGAAAGTGCTTGAAAAGGAATTTAAGAAAACACAGGTAAGAGATGGAGCAGTATGCACTGATATTAGCGTTCTCGCTCCGGGTGTTCTGTAGTCTCTGTACCTGTCAATGTGTCTTAGTTAGGCTGTGAGGACCCTTAGTGAGAATGGTTGCTGGTTGCTGCTGTGCTATGTCATCCCCATGATTATGTGTAGTCCAGGCTGGCCGCACCCTGCTTATTCCAAACCCACTACCATCCTGTCACTTCTGACTCAGAGACCCTGCAGGACAGCCTAAGACAGCCCTGTGGGGTTTCCTGCTGTGACTCCTGACCAAGGCTGATGGCCACACCCGTTCTGCTGTAAAACAGCTGTTTGATGGACCCCTCTGACCACTAGTCAGCACCCAGCTCCTTCGGGGCTGGGCCACCTGCACTCCTCCCTTATTTGTTATTCATGTTTTGTTTTAACAGGAAAAACTTGATGAGTTTTCTAAACAGAAGAATGAAAAAGGTGAGTGTTCAGTTAATACTTGTTACAAAATGAAATGTGTGTGTATTTCTGTTTTAACTATTGTCTCTCATGTGTTTCTAGAGTTGAGACATATTGGAACACAAATTTCAAGTGATTCATATGGAAGCATTGATAAAAGTAAGTGTATTACAGATTTTAATCTTTGGTGTTTATTGAGTGGTTTGGGAAGCTCTGTCTTTTATCACATATAAATGATGTTACAGCTTAGTCTTGCTTAAATTCTTGCATAAGTACTTTTATGTATGCCCCAAATCACTGACAGTGAGAGAGATGCAAATCAAAACCACAGTGAGATACCATCTCACTCTAGTAGTGACAAAGTTTTAACAGGACAGCAAGTACTAAATGTTGGAGAGGATGTGGTGAGATAGGAACTCTACATTGTTGGTGGAATTGTACCATGGTACAAACCACTCTGGAAGGCAGTTTGGCGCTTCCTCAAAAGACTGAACATAGAAATTCCATGTGACCCAGCTATTCCCCTGCTTGGAATATACCCGAGAAAGCAAGAACTGAGGCTCAAATGGAAACATGTACACCAATGTTCATAGCAACATTATTCACCATCCCAAGAACATGGAAACAGCCCAGATAATGGTACATTCACACAATGGAATACTACACAGCACACAGGAGCAGTGATTTTGTAAATTACTACCTAAGGTGAGAGGGACTGGAGAGCATTATGCTGAGTGAACTAACTCAGTTCCATGAGGACACACACTGTATAAAACCGTTATTGTAGAATGAGTATGAGGATCCACGGTGGGGTGGGGAGGGGACTGTAGAAGCAGAGGTGTGAGGATGGGGGGGTAGAATGTTAATCATTGGGTTGCACAGTTTGGGTGGGGCTGAAGTAAGTGGGAAAGTTCCTGTGTGAAAAACTCATATATTTGAACCGTGTAAATAAACTATAATAATAATAATAATAGCAAACATTAAACAACAAACAAAATAAGAGATGCTTTTTAAAATGTAAAAAAATAAAAGTCAATATAAACTCAAAACTCTTTACTGTTGAGGTTTAACCAACTCGTACTGACCCTCCAGTGCATTTTCAGAGGCTGTAAATCTCATAGGAGGAGAGGGCCCAGCTTTCTTCTCATAGCAGCTGGTGGATTTGAACTGTTTACTTTTGGGTTGGCAGTGCAGCTCCTTACCACTAGGCCACCAGAGCTCCCTAAAAAAGCAGAATATACTGTTTGTCCACTATAGAGTGAACAAATCTAAGATTGATGTAGGACACCAGGAGTTAAAATTAGGACTTTTCTGAGACTGTGTTTAAAAGGGCAAAGATATGAAAGTATAAATGTTTGGATTTTTGGTTTTTTGTTTTGTTGTTGTTGTTATGTTATGTGCCATCGACAACACCTCTGAACACTGTTCTATCTTGAGCCAATTTCATTGTCTCTGACACACCTGCCCCCATTACTTCAGTCACTGAGTCCATCCTTCTCATCCAGGGCCTTCCTCTCTTGTGCTCTCCATCCACCCTTCAGGCAAAATGCTCTTCTCCAAGGACTGATCTCTCTTGTCAACATGCCCAAAGTATGTGAGATGAAGCTTCAAAGTTCTTGCCCCCAAGGAGCAACCTGGTTTTACCCTCTCCAAGATGTACTTGTTTGTTTTCTTAGCAGTCCATGGTATATTAACTACTCTTCTCTATCACCACAACTTAAAGACATCTACAACCATCCTTAGTCATTGTCCAGCTCTCTGCTGCATAGCAAGTAATTGTGGAGACCAGGATCAGGTGCATTAGTCTCTGGATTGACATCATTGCTCTTCAGTACTCTGGAGAGGTCCCTGTAAGCAGATTTTCCCACTACAGTTTGTCTTTTGATTACCTGGCTGCTGATGCCAAGAGTGTTGATTGTAGAGCCAATCAAGTTGAAGCTATTAACAATCTCAGTCTCAACGTTGAAAACATTTGCTTCCAAGGATGTCTCTAAATTGCTAAAAAGCATGGCTGTCAATTTAGAAGACAGAGTGTGCCTCATCCAAGTCATGATATTTTCAGTTGCTTCTCATGCATCTGGAAGTTGAAACAATGTGTAATAGAAGCAGAATCACTGCCTTTGAGTGGTGGTGTGGAGAAGAGTATGGAATATCCCATGGACTGCTGAAAGAACAAACAAGTCTGTCTTGGACAAAGTGCAGCCAGGGTGCTTCTTAGAGACAAAGTCATGAGGGAACTCTGCTCACATATTCTGGGCAAGTTGTCAAGAGAGACTTGGACAGAGACCTCATGCTGAGAAGCATGCAAGGTCACAGAAAGAGAAAGACCCTCCGTAAGACGAATTGACATGGTGACTTGCAGTGGGCCTGAAGATTGTCAGGGGACTGTAATGATGGCGCAGGGTGGGGCTGTTCACAGGTTCACTCTGAGTTACAGTTAGGTCGACGACATTGAACAAAACCATGTCACCTCCTTTTTCATCCTGTTCACCATGATGAGAACTTCCTTTTATGGGGCGATACGATTTACAGGCTTAAGTAGTGATAACTGAAAGGTTGATCTTTTCAGCCTTTTTTTTGGTCTGGATTAAAACTTAACTAATTTCAAGAACAGCTTTGACTTAATTTAAGAAGTTGAGTTCAGGGAAACCTTAATGGAATTCTGAGACAGCCTGAAAATAACTAATACTTTAAAACTTAAGGTTAAATCTTACCAGGTAGTAAGTGTTCTTATTAGGTGTCATCAAGTGTGACTCATGACAGCAGCACTATGGACAAGCCATCCTGAGAGCCATCTTCAAATGCTCTGCCACAGCCCAGAGGTCATTGTAGCCACTGTCAGTGGCTCTTCAAGGGACTTCCTCTCTCTTGTGCCCTCCTCCTCTCCCAGCATGGTCCCCTTCGCCAGGTACTAGCCCTTTCTGACAAAGTCCCCACAGTATGTGTTAGAAATTTTCACTGTCCTTGCCTCTAAGGCACACCCTCCAATCCAGAAAATAAGGAGAACTTTGTCCAACATAGACTTGTTCTTTTGTCTCTGAACTCTGTCATCAAAAATGACTCATAGCTGACCCTCCAGCAGGTTTTCAGAGGCTGTAAGTCGCCCGAAAGGAGATTGCTCTTCTTTGTCCTGTGGAGCAGCTAGTGGATTCAAACCACCTGCCTTTGGGTTGGAATTGCATCACCTTAATCACTAGAGTAATTTTTGCCAGCGTCACAAGTCAAAGGCATTTCTTTTGTTTTCTATATTCATTATAACATATTCACGTGGAAAAGAAGCAATTGAAAATACCATTTCATCTAGTATTGGACACACCTTAGTCTTTCACATGACAGCCTTGCTCTTTCATGCTTTGGAGAGATCCTTGACAGATTTTTCGTGTTCAGTGTTTCAGTTTTTTGTTAGCTACTTTCACTGGTATTGATTTGGATCCCAGTTAAATGAAAGTAATGAGTTTAGGTTGTCTTTATGTATATTTGATCTTAGACTATATTTCCTATCTCTCTCTATATGTATATGATGGACACTGAATATGTATGTATTGTTGTTGTTGTTGTTAAGTGCCGTCGAGTCGCAGGTGACTCATAGCGACCCTATGAAGGAGAGTCCTCGACGCTTGGGTGCCTTTCATCCTCTCTCCAGGTTCATAGGGTTTCCGGAGGCAAGCTCGACGCTTGGGTGCCTTTCATCCTCTCTCCAGGTTCATAGGGTTTCCGGAGGCAAGCTATTATGGAAGTGGATGCCACTCCTCCTTCCAATATTATCAGTAGTCAAAACTAATCCAAAACTAGTCCTGTGGAGCAGGCCATGAATTACTTATATAGACGTTTTTTAGCACGTTGCCGCACACTTTTAAATTGACAACCATGCTTAGAAACACTTTTTTCTGATGTGTTACTGAATAATTAACAAATAAATGTACACTTCATATGAATGTTGTTCCTTTTTTATGAAATATAATGTGTGGGATGGCTATAGCCGTCATTTGCCACAATGTTTAAAAAACAAACCCAAACTGAAGAAAATTAAAACAAGAAGCTCAACATCAAGAAAAAAAAGATTCTCACCAGTGGGCCAATTGGCAGCATCAGTATGGATGGTGAAGAGATTGAGATAGTTAACAGTTTTAGTTTGCTTGGCTCCACAATCAACACTCTTGGTAACAGCAGCCAGGAAATCAAGAGACGAATTACATTGGGAAAGTCGGCTGTGAGGGACCTCTCAATGGTACTGAAGAGCAATGACATTAGGCTGGAGACTAGGGTGTGCCTGATCCGGACTCTAGTCTTCATAATTATGTGCTATGCATCAGAGAGTTGGACAGTGAATAGGGTTGATAGAAAGAGAACTGATGCCTTTGAGCTGTGGTGCTGGAGAAGAGTGTTGAATATACCATGTCATATATTTCTAGATCCATCTTGAAGTACAATATTGTGAGTGACAGGATAATATCCCTACGTATACAAGGAAGTCCAGTGAACACTGCTCTCTTTCAGATATATGCACCAGCAGCCAGAGCCAAAGAGAATAGAACATTTCTACCAACTTTTACAGTTAGAGATCGATCAAACATGCAATCAAGATGCATTGATAATAATGGGTGACTGGAATGTAAAAGTTGGGAACAGAGACAAAGAATCAGTAGTGGGAAAACATGGACTCGGTGACAGAAATGGAGCTGGAGATAGAATGCTTGAATTTTGCACAGTCACATTGTTGATGGGATTGTAAAATGGTACAATGATTCTGGAAGGCAGTTTGGCGCTTCCTCAAAAAACTGAACAAAGAAATTTCATATGACCCAGGTATTCCACTGCTTGGAATATACCCTGAGAATATGAAAAGCGAGACACAAACGGAAGCAAGAACATGGAAACTGCCTAGACGTCCAACCACAGTCGAATGGTTTGAGAAATTATGGTACATTCACACAGTGGAAAACTATACAGCACACAGGGGCAAAGATTTTGTAAATTACTAACTAATGTGAGAGGGACTAGAGAGCATTATGCTGAGTGAACTAACTCAGTCCCACAAGGACAAATACTGTATAAAACCATTATTGCAGAACGAGTATAAAGGTCCAAGCGGGGATGTGGAAGCAAAGAGATGATGATGTGCAGATGGTGGGAGGTTGTACAGTTTGATGGGTTGAGGTGTGACGGTGGAAGAATCTGTTCTAGAAAACAATGTATTTGAATTTTGTAAATAAACTAGTATAATAATAAAATAAAAACCCAACAAAACATTTTCCTTGGTAATGCACGTTTAGATGTGTGACAGGGCGGGTTTCATCTCATTCTGTCTGTACACACCCTCTTGTCTCTCACTCCATTTCCTTTCAAGGCTGGAGATGGATTGTCTAAAGTCTAGGAATGCCCCAGATTGAGAACAGAATAGGATATGTATGTGCTTATCTACTGTTCCTTGGAGATTACATAGGACCAGCTCACTCCTGCCATGTTAGTTTCCATTCGTGTTTATTAGTGATTAACAATGGTTATTAACTATGCTTATGGCTTACCTCTCTGTTTGTGTGAGCCTGTGGTTGATTTGCTCAAGCCCAAGGATCCTTTGACAAGGAGGAGATCTATTGTTTGGTGCCTTCCCGTTCTACATTTCATTTGTTGTTGTTACATGCCGTCGAGTCTACTATGACTCACAGCTACCCTGTGAACAATAGCTCTGAACCCTGCCCTATCCTGAATTAGTTTCATGGCCTCCAACACGCCTTCCCCATTGCCACAGTCACTATGTAAATCCATCTCATCCAGGGTCTTCCTCTCTTGTGCTGACCTAAGCATGATGTTCTTTAAGGACCGGGCCCTCCTGGCAACATGCCCAAAGGGTGTGAGCCAGAGCTTCAGAATCCTTGCCTCCAAGGGGCAACCTGGTTTCACACTTTCTAGGACAGAGCCTCTTACATTTTCTTGAACATTACAGACTTTTAATTCAGTAGCTGTCATGTCCTGATTTCACCAAACTCTGTGGCTTTGTGTAGGTCCCTCCAGGTGTCCAAATGTTTATATTTTGCTCTTTATTCCTCATAGGAAAGGTGAAATTGCTGCTCAAGGAGCTCTGGCTCTGCATCAACACAGCCCAGGGGCTCCCAGCGACAGTTGGTGACTCCATCCCAGGTGAGGACAGTGACCTCGGCCTAAGTGAGGGCCACCCTGGTGAGGGCTGAAGCTGAGTCCCAGATGATGACTGGTCCCGTGGAAGGACACTTACCATGTCCTGGGGGAGAGTGGGGCCAGCTCAGGCCTTCCAGGTGAGGACTGAGGCTACTGACTGGTCCCATGGAAGGACACTCACCATGTCCTGGGTGAACGTGGGGCCACCCCAGGCCATCCAGGTGAGGGCAGCAGCTGTTTCCTCATGGGTAAAGAGAGGCTGCACCTGAAGTAAGGTCTGAGCCCCTGTGCAGTCCAGCTCCCGTAGAGCAGCGGGGAGGTCTGTTGGCCTTTAGTTGCTATAGTCTTGAACCTGCCTTGAAAAGCCTTCCATGAACAAGGCTGGGTAGATGGCAAACACGTTGCCTTTCACTGTGACTCCTCCTTACATTGAGTGCATTGGTCTTGTGATCCTTTACAGCCGTTTCCGTCCGAGAACATTTGAAGAGAAAGAAGCTGGAGGAGGTACAAGCAGTGGAGCCGTTTCTGACAGGTATGTGCCAATGACAGGACAGTAAGAACTGCAGAATTAGAGTGAGCTGCCAGCAGGTCATCTTCATTGTGTTCTGCTGAGGTTTACTGGCTCCTGTGCTTGAACTTTAAGATGCTATCACAGCAGTTCAGAGAAAGTAGTGTGGAGTAGTGCAAAAAAGTCGCTCTGTTGTCCTAGACACATGTTTGCCAAGGGCTCTGCAGCCAAAGGATAGCGTGTGGATTTTTCTTAAGTGCTTGTAATTGTCAACAGGAGTTAAAATGCTCCTGTCAAAAGCTGGGCTATTGATTATATATATTCTTGTGCCATTTTAAATTCTCCAAGAAATGATTGCATATAAATTGTTCACTCACTCCTTTTTGCACAATGACTTATTCATTGCAAATACATTTTTTAAGAGACATAAACGCAGGTTATACACCGGATTTCACCTGATGGTATGCATAGGAATCAGATCGATTACATCTGATGAGAGAACCGCTGGAGAAGCTCATTATCAGCTGTGAATACTAGGCCAGGAGCTGATTGTGGAACAGACCACCAACTACTCATATGTAAGTTCAAGCTGAAGCTGAGGAAAATTATACCAAATCCACGGGAACCAAAATATGACTTTGAATCTATCCCATCTGAATTTCAGAACCATCTCAGGAACAGGTTTGAGGCCTTGAACACTAATGAGCGAAGACCAGATGAGTTGTGGGAGGATATCAAGGGTATCATCCAAGAAGAGTGCAAGTGTTCATTACAAAGACAGAAGAGGAAGAAAAGCCCAAAATGGATGTCAGAAGAAACTCTGAATATATTGCATTGGAGCACAGAGAAGCCAAAACACAAGGAAGAATTCAAGATACTAAAGAGTTGAATAGAGGATTTCAAAAGGCAGCACGGGATGACAAAGCAAAATATTACAGTGAAATATGCAAGGAGCTGGAGTCAGAAAATCAAAAGGGCTGAACTCCCTCAGCATGTCTTAAGCTCAAGGAACTGAAGAACACATTCAAACCTTGAGTTTCTATAATCAAGGATGCTTTAAGCAGAATATGAAATGATCCAGGAAGTATTAAAAGAAGATGGAAAGAATATCCTGAGTCACTGTATCGAAAGGAATTGGCAGACACAGAAGAATTTCATGAAACAACATATGAGCAAGAGCCTATGGTGATGAAGGAAGAAGTTCAAGCTGCTTTGAAGGAAATAGCAAAAAATAAGGCCCCAGGAATAAATGATATACCAGTTGACATATTTCAGCTAACAGATGCTGCCCTGGACATGCTCACCAAGTTATGCCACGAAATCTGGAGAACAACCACTTTGCCAACTGACTGGAAGAGATCTAATATTTGTTTCCATCCCAAAGAAGGGTGACCCGACAGAGTGTGGAAACTTTAGAACAATCTCATTGATTTTACATGCAAGCAAGATTCTACTGAATCCAAAAACGACTGGAACAGCACATCAGCAGAGAACTGCCAGAAGTACAGGCTGGATATAGAAGGGTCGTGGTACTAGGGATATTGTAGCTGATGTTAGATGGATCTTAGCTGAATGCAGGGAATACCAGAGGAATGTGTATCTGTGTTTCATTGACTATGTAAAGGTGTCTGACTGTGTGGATCATAACAAACTGTGGCTGACTCTGAGAAGAATGGGAATCCCAGAACACTTGATCGTGCTAATGAGAAACCTATACTTGGACCAAGAGGCAGTTGTCAGAATAGAGCAAGGAAACACTGCATGGCTTAAAATTGGGAAGGGCGTACGCTAGGGATATGTCCTGTCTCCATACCTTTTCAACCTGTATGCAGAACAGATTATCTGGGAGGCTGGGCTCTCTGAGGAGACGTGTGGCGTTAGGATTGGTGGAAGATCTATCAACTATCTGCGTTATGCAGATGACACAACCCTGCTTGCTGAAACTGAGGAGGACCTAAAGCAGAGGGTCAAGGATTGCAGCCTTCAATATGGGTTGAGGCCCAGTGTTAAGACCAGTTGGCAGCGTGAGGATGGATGGTGAAGCGATTTAGATTGTTCTCAGGTTTAGTTTGCTTGGCTCCACAGCCAACACTTTTGGCACCAGCAGCCAGGAAATTAAAAGACATATTGCGATGGGAAAGACTGCTGTTAGGGACCTCTCTAAAGTACTGAAGAGTAACGGTGTCTCTCTGGAGACTAAGGTGCATCTGATACAGGCTATGGTCTTTGCAATCACTTGTTATACATCAGAGTTGGACAATGACTAAGGTGGATAGGAGAATTGATGCCTTTGAGCTGTGGTGCTGCAGAATAGTATTGAGGGTACCATGGATTGTTAGGAAAACAAAGAGATTCATCTTGGAAAGGATTAAACCGGGTGGCTTTCTGAAGGCAAGGATTGTGAGGCTCCTTTGGACATATTGTAAGGAGGGACCGGTCCTTGGAGAGGGACATCGTGCTTGGTAGGGTGGAGGGACAGCACAGAGGGGAATGCCCTCTATGAGGTGGATTGACTCAGTCACTGGGGTAATCAGGATGGGTGTACCGGAGGCAGTGTGATTGGCACAGCACAGAGCAGAATTTAGGGCTGTTTTACATAGGGTCGCTATGAGTCACAAGTGACTCGATGGCACGTAGCAAGAACAACAACAACTCCTTTTTGACCTTAATAGATTAGCCCAGTGCTGAAATCTTCAGTGTAACTTTTCTGGAGAGAGGAAAAGTCCTCTAACAGTGTCACTGTGCAGATAGAAGCTCTGAAATCTGCCTATAGGAGCTGGGTTTGTAATTTAATGAAATTTTGATTGATGGAAGGTTAAGTGGCCACAAAGGACTAAAATCTCAAAATTATTGCTTTTGAGTTGAAACTGACTGGCAGCTGCCCCTCCCTCCAGTGGATTATCAGGCTGTAACCCAAACAGAAGGAGTCTGCCCATCTCTCTCCAGAGGAGCCACTGATGGACAAGTACAAGACATTTTAGGAGAGTCCACTCACTGTGTCCCACAGCTGCAGAGCCCGTGGCACACATGCCAGGGAGCTGGGGTGACCTTGTGAACTGCACACCTCGCAGCTCTCCACGTGATCAGTAGAGACCAAAGTGCATCATGCCGGTCTACTTGCTTTTAAGATTGTGTGCCGTGAAGTGCAGCTTTTAGGAATCTTGAATTTCTTTGTAATCATAGGAAACAGCCAAAGAAGAGCAGGGCCTCTGCTGTGGAGCCGGTTCTGACCCCTGGCGGCCCATGTGGGCAGCGCAGAACTGTGCTCTCTGCATTTGCAGGACTCCGACCTTTCTTTTCCAGCTGGTACTGTTGTTGTGTACCTGCGAGCGGGAACTGACCAGAGCTGGCTGTCCAGTGGGTTTTCAAAGGCAGTGAATCGCACAGGAGGAGATTGCTCATCCTTCTGCGGAGCAGCTGGTGGATTCAAACTGTGTGTCTGTGGGGTGGCAGCACAGTTCCTGTCCACTAAGCCACTCAAGCTTCCCTTCAGCCTTCATGTTAGTAGTTGGATACTTAACCATTGGGACCCCTGTGTTGTTCCCAAGTACAGTGACTGGGGTTGTCACGAGAAGGAGAGCTCTACCTCATGCTCAAAGGACATATCTCATGGTCTTTGCTGGAGCCTCTGGGGGAGAGGCAGATGGCAGGAGTTCAGGGATGCCCTTTTGAAGGCAGAGGCCATGCTGGGCCACCTGTTCAGGTCCATACACTTGGACAGCTGGATTGGCGACATTGTTGATGTGGATGTTGAGAACTCCTCATCGTCCTTCAGAGCCCAAGCAGAGATGATGTCTGGCAGCTGCTTGAGGTGGAAGTGGATGTGCTCTTGGTCAGTCTCTGCTGCAGCCCAGTGGTGGCCAGGGCTCTTGGCCATCACCAGCCCATTGCCTGGTCAGCTCTGCCTCAAATGGGTGGTGAAGCAGTTGCAGCTTCATTTCACCTGCTGACTGGCCTGACTGTGCCCTCTGACCCTGCTTCCCCCTCGCATCTTGGCCAGGAACCGACAGGCCCTCCATAAGAGCACACGAGGTGCCTGAGTGCAGGGAGGGCAGAAGTTGCAGGCGTCCTCTATGGTCACTTGCTCCCCACAGCTCTCTGGCCCCTTCCTACTGTGCCGTGTGCTCACGGCTGTCCTGTAGGCTCACTGGCTGTTGGTAGTGACTTCCCACGTCTCATCCTGGTTTTTTGCCAACAATTGTCACCACCAAGGCTTATCCCAGTGATTTGGTTGTTCAGATGTAAGGTGCTGATTTGACTTAATGTCTCCTGAATCTGGTGGTGACCTCTCACCCCGAGAATTTTGTGCCCCTGCTGCCGTGTCCACACTGGGGGGAGGGGGATTTCTCACCAACATTGACAGAGGTAGAGTGCAAGGACGCTCCCCACCACTGCAGGGCACTGGAATGGGAGGTTGAGCCTGAGGCTGCTAACTGAGAGGCCCGTGGCCTGAAGATGAATGTTTGGTGGTCTGCTCCTGTCAGTGTCTGCCGCCTGGATGCCCACCTCCTTTGTGCCCTATGGGGTCATTGGGAGTGAGAATTGACTCATGGCAGTGGGATTGGCGGGGCTTTGGTTTTCACCACGGTCATGCCTGTCCACTCTGCTGCATTGTCAGCTGTGCTGCCTTCTGTCTGCTCACCTCACCTCTCATGTTAGGGTGAGTACCTTCCCAGGAAGCCTGTTCACTGCGTAGAGGATGGGCTTGTGAAACAAAGGATTACTTGCTGCTTTCAGGTGGAGGGCAGTAGTGTCCTTGGGGTTTTTCTGACAATTTCCATGAGTATAATTTAGTTACATGGGTTGCATTCTTCAAGTGCTAAAGCTAGTCTTGCTGAGCTTTTCCAGATTGTTCTACCACAATTATCAGAAACCCATTGCCCACTAAGCACAAATTCCCCTTTTTACCCTTCTCACCCCTGAGAACTGCTGATAAGCTTTGCTCTCTGTGTAATTGCTGTTTCATAAACCTTATATTTGTGTGTAGTTTTTCGTTCTGTGATGGGCTGACTGGGTTCAGCAGATGTTGTCAGGGTCCGTTTCTGCTGTGGCACGCATCATGGCATGGATGGGCATGTGTTTTTGTCCACACTTCTGTTGGTGGAAACTGAGGTGGGTTTCCATTTCTGGCTGTTCTAATAGTGCCTGTAGTGAGCCCTGGAGGCCAGGCTGCTGTTTGTGTGCCTACCTTGACCTCCTCTGGCTTGATAGGTAGTTGGGTTGCCTTTGGGGGCAACATAATAGTTTTATGGAAGTCTGTACTGGGCATGTTCCAAGGAGGGACCAGACCTTGGAGAGGGGCATCATGTTTGGAAGGGTGGAGGAAGAAAGGAAGAGCACGGATGACACGGTTGATCCAGTGACTGGGGTAATGAGGGTAGTTGAATCAGACAGTAAAGTTGGCACAGGATAGAGCAGGTTTCCGGGCTATTAATGGGGTTGCTGTCAATCGCAAGGGACTTGACGGCATATAACAACAACTGCTTTTTGAGTAACCGCCACATCATTTTCCACTGTTTTACATTCCCACCAGCATGCGTAAGGGCTCCGGTTTTCCCAAATCTTGTCAACACCAGTTGCTTTGCTTTCCTTATCTGTTTAACTGTTACCATTGTGGTAGCTCGTTGCTTTTTTGCTAGCCCAGAGCCCTGTACAGTTGACCACCGGCTCCCCAGCAGGAGCTGGACAGCCTGCTCTGCTGCGGTTTACAGCCTCAGGAGCGCAGGAGTGGGTCAGCGAGTCACAGCCAGCCACGGCAGGAGGGAGGTGGATTTGTTTTCAGTGAATGTAGCTAAGAAGTAACAGTTGGTGGCACAGCAGTCAGGTTCTTGTTTGACTCTACGAGCTTCTGTCCTGGTGAAAGGCGGGGAAGTCAGCGTCTCTGAAGACTTCAGCCTTCGAAGCGCTGCCGGGCAGCGTGCCCTGCAGTGTGGCTGTGAGTCTAAGCTGTATGTATACCTCGTGACCTGGAGTGTCTCTTTATGTACTTGTTTGCTGTTTGAATTAGCCTGTTTGGTGAAATATTTGTTTAGACACTTCACCTATTTTTAGAGTAGATTGTCTTTTTTGTCATGAAAATTAAGAAATATTTTATGTATTTTGATTATCAGACAATTAGGGTCAGTGAAAGAGAGAAAGACCCTCAACTGGATGCATTGACACTGTGGCTGAGGCAGTGGGGTCAGTATGTTAGAGACGATGAGGATGGCACAGGCCAGGCCAGGGCTCAGCTCTGTTTCTCAGAGGGTCACTATAGTCGTTCATACTTGACTTGATAGCATCTAACAGCCACAACATCATTGGCGTATAAGGAGCTCTGATGGCCCAGTGTGTGGTGCTGTTAACCAAAACATTGGTTGTGGTCCAAGCCCACGATCTCCTCCACAGGAAAGATGGACAAGTCACCTGCCATTGGGTTTCCGAGATGATAAATCTTGACAGGAGGTGGCTTCCTATCCTTCCCGGATATTATGTATATTTTTAGTGTAAGTATTTTAAGTTTCCTGAAATCAGAGCCATGGTGATGCAGCTGTTGGGCGGCTTAACAGAAAGGTTGGTGGTTTGAGCCCCAGTCATTCTATGGGAGAAGCAGTCTCTTCCTGGGATGTGTTACAGCTGTGCAGACCCAGTGGACAACTGCCAGGAGTCAGATCCGGCTCAACAGCCCATTTATATTGTAAATATTTGATACTCATGAATAATTTTTATCCCTAGAAAAACCGGCCAAAGAAAACAGATGTAGGGAGCCCCTGGAAGAGAGCATGCTACTTCCTCCGCTCCAGCGTGGTCCACCAGCGGTGTCAGACTTAATGGTGAGCTCAGTGCAAGTGTCTGCGGGTGCAGCGGGCAATTTTCCTGCCTGTAAAAACATGGAAGAGGACAGGCCCAGCGGAATGAGTCACCGAGGTGCAGACAGGAATCCTGAGACTGTCACTGCAAGTCAGAGCAGCAGAACCATGGGCTTTTCTTACCACAACCCTTGCTTTGATGAAGATCTTCAGGCTGCAATGGACTTCTTCCGGCTGCCCCCTCCTCTCCTGTCCCCGGTGCCCTCGCCACCCCTGCTGGCCTTGCCCCACCTGAGGCCCTTGGCATCACTGAGAACTGTGAGTCCTGCTCTTTGATCTTGAATTGTCAAAAGTCTGTCCTGGGGTGTTGGTAACCCTCCAGGAATATCACTGGTACCCATGATGCCCTGCCGTTGATGGGGTTTTTGTTGGTTTTCTTTTTTGAGTCTCTTTCCCACACACACATTTCCATTTGCTTTGATATTGTTGTTAGTTGCTGTAGGAGGTAACTGAATTCTTCTTCACTGTCACACATGGCATCTAACAAGTGTTGAGTGGATAAAGTACCAATATTTTTTGTATGCATGGTGTTTTGCAGCGTCAGGAGTTCTGTGTGTCCCGCAGGTATCTTAGTCACAGCTTCCTTCCTTTGCCTGGTGAATGCATCATCTTTGTGTGTATTTGCAAAGTGCTTTATGACCACTGCTCAGCAAGTTAATCTTTACAGATACATTTGTATGCCTTTTTACTTCAGGACCAGATCAGTCAATCCCTCCCTGCTTTTTTGAATCATTCTGGAAAAACGCTCGAGACACTGCTGGGTATGAGACTTGCAGAGACGTCATACAGCACAGTGCAGTGTGGGTGGCCATGTGATGTGGACAGGCCAGCGTGTGACAGCCCGTGACACTGGTGCAGCGCACTGGTACACATTGGCCTGCAGTGCTCAGGACAGAAGCTGGGTCTTGAGCAGAGGCTGGGACCTTCACTCTACCTTCACTCTTCACTTTGCTAGGACAGAGCGTACTAGCAAAGCTGGTGCATTGGGGGAGGCTGCCTGAGGAGCCTGTCCTGAGGAGTGTGAGGGAGGAGCCTGTGAGAGAGGAGTCAAGAGTCATGTAGCCAGAGGGTCTGTCTGCAGTGTAGGAACCCTTTCTCACCCTGAGAGGAGAGGTCTGAGGGCTGTGGGCTTGTGCGCTTGTGCCTGGTAGGCTGAGGAAGAGTCTCCTCTGGGAGAAGCAGTGCAGCACGTGGACAGACACACTGCCTTTATCTGTGCTGCCCTTATCATGAATCTCAGCTACTGCACTTTTCACAAATTGAAGGTCTCTCATCATGCTGTGCTTAGCAGCTCTGTTGATGGTGCCAGCATCACATGCTACTGCTGTGTGTTTGTCCCGTTTTGGTAATTCTTGCAAGGTTCTGACTCTCTGATAAGGCCACTGCATGTTAATAGAGTGCACCTAGGATTGACATAACTCTACATGCACCAGGAAACCAAGACACTTGCACAACTCGCTTTGTGGCAACATTAAGTCTTTGTAGCACTCTGGAACTGACCTGTAGTATCTCCAAGGTGGGCCAGGTACCCTGACGGTATAGAGGGATGACAGAGTCTCCTACTTTCGTAGACAGTGCGGAGATGAGCTCCCCTCTCCCTTCTCTTCGAGGTGTGTTAAGCATTTTAGGGGAACATGCATTCCAGTGAGCCCGCTGAATTGACTGGGTGATAGCGTGTTCCGTATCTGGCATCAACTGCTATAACTTTGCTCTCCGCAGGAACCCTGCTACGGCGAACCCATGGACTCCAGCGAGGATGACTGGACTCAGCACTTGAGCTCCACCGACGGTGCTGCAGAGGAAGATTCCACTGAGCCACCCAACTATTTTGGCTCATTTATAAGAAATAAAGGAAGCGGCACCCTATTTGAACAGCCTGCACCCCATGTACACCTGCAGGTTACTAACACGCCAGCTGTAAATGAGGTACCCACATCTGAGTCCAGAGCCTCTCCGGCAGTGCTGCGGCATCCTCCAGCCTTGTCCTCTTTGGCCATGTCATCTCATTTCCTGGGTGCTGAGAAAGCAGATGTAGAGGAAGCAAAAATACAGGTCACGGTTAAGGAGGTGGATAAGGCGGTGCAGACAGATGGCCCCGTTTTCCAGACCTCTAGTCCTCGGGGCATCAGTGAGTTCAGCAGTGACTCAGCTGCTGCGGGCCTGTCAGGTTTGTGTCCTTCTCCCCTGAGCAGAAGGCCACCACCAAGTGAACTTAGCGACTCTGGAAGAGAAACCCTCTTATCCAAGTTAATAACATCCCCCCAGGCAGAGCCTACCAGGCAGATGGGAAGTAAGGAAATAGCTTCTGAATCCGACAAGGCATGCGACATTTCTGAGCTCTTCTACAGGGTATCCCAAGAACTGAACAGAGGAGGTGAGCAAGTAAGAGGGCGCCTGGTCGACTTTCCAGAGTCAGAGGACGAGAGTGCAGAGAACACCACCGATGCCTCAGGGCAGGATGTGGACGCTGGTTTCTCGCCCTCCTTTACCTCCAGAGCATTGTCTGTTTGCAGTGGTCCCCAGGCTTCCTCGGGACCGGAGAGTGATGACCGTGTCTGTGCTCCATCCAGGGGAGTCTTTGCTGAAGTGCCTCCTGCAGAACAGAGACCTCCCTTGGCAGCATCCAGCTGCAGCAGCCTGCAGTCCAAGCTTGCCCCTGAGCCTGAGAGTGAGCTGGAGAAGAGCCTGCTTGCTTTGAAAGCTGAGTTAAGAGTGTCTAATTTCAGCAGTCAGAAGAGCAGTGCAATTGAACACCCAAAGATGGCAAAAAGCACCAAAACATATCCACTCCCTCAGCCAGTGTTTGGGAAAGCTACAGGAGATGAACAGCATGTGGGAGAAAGCTCCAGAACTGAGCATCCACTCCCTATGTTCGACTCCCAGTCGGCAGCAGGTGCCCTGGAGGGCTTGGCCAAGCCTGCCGTTGGTTTTGGCGAAAGCTCTTCACAGCTCCACAGTGATGTGCTGCGGAGGAACAGTGAAGGAAGTCTGCGAGCTAACTCAGAACACGGACAAGAGACAGCACAATCAAGAGAAGACGGCAAGTCTGAACGCAGCTCTGAACTCTGTGCGGGGTGTACTTCTGTGAGGTTCAGTCCTGCTTCAATGCTGCTGAATCAAGTGTCAGTTATCACAAAACAGGCAAAATCCGAGCTGGACGCCAGCACTCCCGCGGAAGCCTTCCCTGCGCCCCGGAGTGCGCCTGCCTTAGCCGTGGACAGCGGCAGCGCCTGGGCCGCTCCTCACGCTGCCTTGCCACTGTGTGGTGGAGAAGAGGAGGGACACGCACACGAGGGTGACGAAGGGGCCACTGAGGAGACCACATCGCCGGGAGGTTCCCCCACAGCTGGGCAGGGGGATCCCAAGTCTCCAGGTAGTCGTCGACCAGCAGAAGGTTCTCCTTGTTCCACAAATTGTCGGTTGTCTTTCTCTTTAGAAAACATGCCAATCAAACACCTCGACACTGTGATGGAAGCTTCCGGCCAGGAGGACTTGGAGGAGCCAGGCCAGCCCCTTCCTCCTACACCCCCGGCCAAGTTCAGAGTGAATTTTCATAAGCTTTCAGCCAGAGAAACCACCCCAGCGTGGACCTTCGCCTCCGAGGAAGCATCCCAAGGGCACACAGGGACCTCTTGCCCTGAGCCCACTGCTGCTTCCCGCGGTTCTCCGCGTCGCCTTCAGAATTTCAGCATGCCACTGAGCCTGCAATCCAAAACTCCCCGGGGATCGTCTTCTGATGATTTGGCTACCAATAGCATTGCTTCACTCCCTGCTTTTGGCAGGAAAGATGGAGAGACGCAGACTCTTAGCCAGAGTGGATTGCTTGACCCCTTGTGTTGCTACACTGGCCTTCGAGAGAGGGTCGAGGAGGACACGGAGGTAGAGGAGAGTTCGGCCTTCAGCTGTAGTGAGGCTGAAAGTGACCCCGGACCTGTGCTGGAGGGTGGACAGCAGGAAGCTCGCCACCGAGCTCTCACCCACTCAGCAGACACAGAGGTCAGTGCAGCACAGACGGGGCCTGCTGCAGAGGTGGGCCAGCTGACCTCGGCTCTGCAAGACGTCAACCTCAGTGCTCTTTCTGACATAGATGCACTGTCTACGTCAGAAGTGGTGAGCTTCCTCGAAAGTTGTCAGTTAAGAGATTACAGTTCAGGGGACTGCGCTTCAGAATGTTCTGGTAAAGGAGCCCTGACTAAGGAGATGAGCAGGGAGCTAAAGGGAAGTGAATTCTCAGGAGAACAGCTCGAAAAGGGTGAGGAAGAAGTCCCTGACACCTGTGAAGGATCCTTCATCTTGGACGAGGATTATGATCCTCTGGCAAACACCAGCTTGCTTCAGTGTTCTCTGGAAACACTCTCTGAGGTTCTCACCACAATGGGGCCAGAACTGCAAGCCCATTGTGAGGACAGCAACGCTAGTGAGAGTGGGAATCTCTTGTTCTTAGATCTGCACACCACCACCACAGAGGAGGGTGGAAAAGGAGGAGATACGCCCCTAGAAACTGACATCTCCCCACCTGACACTTCAGAACTTCCTCCACTAACAGACTCACGTAGTCCTCCCCCAAGGGATGAGCCTCCCGATGAGGCCTGTGGGGACATACCTGAGGATGACCTGGGTGCGGCCAGGCAGGACGAGGGGCTGGCCGAGGGCCGGCTGACTCCCATAGAACCAGAGCCCCTGGACTCCTGCTTGGCCTCGGAGCAGCGGGCCCCTGAGCAGAAGTCTGATGGGATTCCACGTCAGCTCTCAGCAACAACCTCCAAAGTCATCAGTGTGCTCATAAATAAGGATCAGAGCATAGTGATTGGAGAAGGGGACAACTGGACAGTCCTAAATGGTGTGGCCGTCGTGCCACGCGTAGACCAGGTCATCCTGTGCGACACCTCTGGGGACACCCAGGCTGCTGCAGATCAGGAAGGAGAGGAAGCCAGTTCTCTGGTGGCCAGTTCTGTAGAGAAGTCCTCAGGAGTCCCTGAGGGGGACTCTCCGTTCCAGGAGCCTCAGGGTGGCGGGCATCCTTCATGCACCCAGGAGGACGCTCCCAGCAGTGGTTTGAGTGCCAACTTTGACAAGAGCCGGCTGCGCAACAGACCTGTTAAACCGAGTGTGCGGATCAGCTCGCTGATCTACAGTCAGGACTTTGAGTCTCAGGATTTTGAGTCTCAGGTGATTGCATCTGACCACACGTATTACAACTCAAGACTTGAGCCCTGCAGCAAGAATAAAAATCGGGCAAAAATTCCCAGCAAAGACCCATCAGCTAAACCGGGAAAGACCTCAGTTACAAGCCGAACCGAAAGTAATCAGAGTGAGGCTTCCCCATCTTCTTCAGGGGAACTAGGTGGATCCAAAACTCTGAGAACACAGACTCAGCCCATCGTTGCCAGCGCAGACACGTCCACTCCTCTGGAGTGCTCCTCTGACACCCTAAATATGATACGTCAGGAGGTAGGCCCCCCACTTCCGCCTCTCCTTGCCCCTCTGATAGCGACACCGCCCAGGACTCTGCGACCTGTGTCCCCTCTGCGATCCAGCTGCAGTCCTTCCTCGCCAGCCTCTCCCCTCAACCAGGCTTCTCCGCTGGGTGACATACCCATGTCTCCTGTGACCTCGCCTTTGCCAGAAGAGGCCGGGCACCCTTCTCCTGCCTGTGTTGCTCCGTCCCCGTGCACAGCCCCGGCCAGTGAGCGGGTGCTGTCCTCCCCTTTGCAGTTCTGTGCTGCCACACCAAAACATGCACTTCCCGTGCCTGGCCGCCTGCCCCCGCTGGCACCTGGCCACACTGCTGTGGGGGGCCCTCCAGAGAATTCTGTCAAAATTCTGGACACCATGTACCCCGAGCTGTCTGCCCGGGCCCGGACCCTCAACATTCTGAAAGGGAACATCCAGCTCACCAGAGGCCCGCCTGCCGACGCCAAGAGCCTGGCAGGTCCCGTCAGTACCCTCACAGGCTTCAAGGCCATCACCTCCACGGCCACAGCGTTTGTGAAGACTGGAGGCAGTGTCAGCAGTGACTGCTGCCCAGAGAAGTCACGAGATCAGGGGACTCAGCAGGACTCTGCCGGAAAGAGGACGTCAGCGCCCCTGCTACGGAGTGCTAAGAGATTACGGCTGGATGGTGAGGCCCATGCGTCAGAAGTCCGGACAGAAGGAGCTGGCCGGAACCTCCGCAGGAGGGGCCCTGCGACGGACGCTGTACCAGCAAACAGGGAGGGGAGCTGCTTTGTTCCACATGTCAGTACAGCCACCCAGCTGGCGCCAAACCCCAGAGAAACTGTGGAGTCGCATGACCAAACCATAGCAAATGCGCTGAGGAAAATCGCAGAGTCGTCTTTTGATCTGTTACCTGTCATCCGGAGCCATGTCTATGTGGGCAACATCTCCAAAAAGCCTGTCATGAGAGACCAAGAGAAGGAAGTTGTTTATGAGTTCAGCACGACAAAGAAGGTACGTACCCTACTTTGCCCTCGCATGCTCCGAGTTCCCGGGTCTCTGAGGTGGAGACCAGCTGTGGTCACACTGTGCTTAATCACAGATGCTGCTTTCTAGCTCAAAGGCTGTGGCACTCCTATGTCCAGCACCCAATCAGGGCCATTTCCAACAGTATGTGGTCACTTCATGTCTCTCTGCCATATTTTCGTCATTCTCACAGTATTTCACGTTTGTTCACAGTGCTCTTGTATGCATCAGCTCTGCTTCCCGGCAGTGCTCCATCAGGTTTCCACAGGACCACTGTGCTGGTGGTGATGGGAGGTGCCCTGTCCTGTACCATCTGACACACTTGAGCCCATTGCTGCAGTAGATATAACTTACATACTCTGGGAATCTGCTGTGTTGTGGTACTGGCTCTATTGCAGCTTCTGGAGTTGAGTCTGACATTTCCCAGAGCTGCCTTCCCTGCAGTGGATGTGTACCCGACTCAGCAAGTGTTTCTTACGGATTGAGTTCATCCTAGAAACATGGCAAAGGCTTTGCTTCTAAATAGCATTTTTAAATTGGATGTGTAAGACACTGGAGATTTGAGAATCTGCAATACCCAGTTAAAATGTTTAGGAAACAAAACGGTAGGATTAAAATTACCCATTTCCTGTTGATTGTAGCATTTTGAAAGATTAAGCTGGTTCAATGTGAAGTAGGCCTCTTATTATGTCTTACATAGGGAGTTGCACTGCTAACACAAAGGTCGTGCTTCTCTGGCTCTTCAGATCTACCAGTGGCTCCCATGCAGTTCATATCTCATGCAGTTCATATCTCCTAGATGAAACCCTTGAAAGGTAACTATGGTTGGTCCTGACTAGATGGCCTGAGTGATGGATGTCCTCCTTATTATCTCCAGAATGTGACAGGCACTGCCCAGGTCATGAGATCATTTCCTCCATGGGTTTAAGAGTCTGTCACGCCTTTGAACCAGTGCTCACCTCACCTCACCTCATTTTTCATGTGCCAAGAAGTGTGACAGGAACAGAGTGGAATTGTTTACATTGTGGTAGACTGGAAGGACGGCAGAATGGGGGAAATGAAAGCTCGATGCCTTGTCAGAAGTGGGCTGGCCCCCTTACAGAAGAAGGCAGCCTCTGCGTGGCATGCAACCAGGTGCTTGGGGTTTGAGCATGCTTGAAAGCAGTGCAGTCCTGCTCAGATGTGCCACTAGATTGGGTGAGCGAGTCCACGGTTCTCCCAGTCCTCTGGTCCCCACAGCAGGCTCCTGGACAGCTCACTCCACCTCGTCAGCCTATAACTTTTCCATTCTGGACACCATGAAGCTGGACGATTGTAAAAAGCCCATGTACTCCTTTGGCAGTTTGTTTGCCATGATATTCATGACTGGGAGACAGTACATTTCCATTTCCTGAGAGACTTTCAAAAGGTAGTGTGTACTGCCCACTCCCCATCCGTCCAGTAACGGCTGCCTTGAACCAAACAGGCGTAGACACAGATGTTCAGTATAGGAGAGTGACAGATTGTGCAGATTCACACATACAGCTTGTTGGGACCCTTAACACGATTGTGCTGTGAACTTGCCTCTGATTCATAGCCACTATCTGATCCTATGCCATCCTCTGGCTCTGAAGTGCTTAAACTCATTCTCCAGTCTCTGTGTGTCAGTCCATCTCATTGACAGTCCCCCACTGCTTGCCAAGCGTGATTTCCTTTTCCAAAGACTGACCACTCCTGATAGTATGCTTATAGTATGAAGACAGAATCTCATCCTACTTGCCTCTGAGGAGCACTTGGCTAAACTCCTCCAAGGCAGATGCAAAACCTACATCTCGATGCTTTATACCATTTCTGGAGTCTGATGCTTGGACTTTATTGCTATCTGCATGCTTTCACAGTCATAATAGTATAAATATCTTACATATCCTCTCATATTGTTGTTTTTGAAAAACATAAAGAGAACCGTGCAAATGAATGTAAAAGGGTACTTAATCTCAAATGAACACATTATCAACTAATGCTCTTATAGTCTAAGAAAACACTACCTGATGTTCAGAATATTTAAAGACTTTGAAGATATAGGGTAATGTGGAGATTACAAAATATAAGGAGGAGTAGAGTTAGAGTGAGAGTAGAGTTGGAAGCAGGAGTGGCATCCACTTCCTAAACAACATGCCTCTGGAAACTGAAATCTAATAAATGATAATAGTTATAGAAAGGCTTCAGGCCTTTTGTCCACAGGGTCCCTATGGGTCGTGCTCGACTCAACAGCAATCAACAACAGTGCTAGAGTGGCTTAGTCTCAAAATGAAAAGATCACTCCTGTCAAAACCAGGAAGCCACTTTTGGTTTGGTGGTGGTGACACCAGGCTTGGCAGGTGCATTTTGAGCTGCCAGCCAACATTTGCAATATTAATGATGCAGTAAGTGTGACTTCTTAAAAAGTCCTGTTGTAAACTGGGCTCGTGGGTAGCTTGTTACTGTGGCCAGTGTTCTGACTGCATGGGTTTGTGTCTCCACTCGACATACCTTTGAAAGTGCTGCTATTCACTATGGTAAGGGTGAGCACCAGTCTATGTTGCCTTCTCTCCTTTTCTTCAACCCAGCATCTGGCAGAGTGCTTGCTTCACTCTATCCTCTCAGAACTAAACGTTCAGAAGACATCTGCAGACCACAGCTACGTCCACGCCCTGTGCAGAGTGTACGTGGGCATCTGCCGGCAGCTCGGAGACTTGGAGAGGGCCCGCCTGTTTTGCTACAGCATACTTAAGGAAGGTATGTGTAGAAGTGACATTTAGGTGTTGAAAACATCCTCGGGGTTTTTAACCTTATCACACTTGCATCTGTATTTTCAATTAGATTGCTGTTCCTCTTTTAAAGTCCTTTTGGTTTTTTCTTCCTTTAGTAGAGGGTACAGATAGCTCTAGTGACTTGGTGGTAAGGAGTTGAGTTACCAGCTCAGAGCCCTGCAGTTTGAATCCACCAGCAGAAAAGATGGGCAATCTCCTCCCCAGTGATTTACAGCCTCTGAAAACCTGCTAGAGGGTCAACTCTGAACTGATGCTGGCTCAGCAGTGCGTAGTGCACAAACCTGGTCTCCAGCCTCATCTTTCTAAACACGTGCAGTCCCCACTTGTGTCCCTAACAGAGTCTGTCCCATTAATGTATTTTACTGCTTGTGAAGCTGCTTCAGAGGCTGATGCTGTTCCTAGCTACAAAGTTGATCCTAGCTCCTAGCCCCCTGGTCTGGCAGCTGCTCCTTACTGTGTTTAGCTGGAGTCTTGATGGAAGCCGTTCACTAAGCCCTTTCTTCTGCAGATTTGACAGGGTAGATGCAAACAGGCAGCCCTTAGGTTAGTGCAGACCATTCGCAGCACACAAGGTCCTCAGAAGCTGACATGTAGTCAACACAAAGGAAGGCAGTGCTGCTATTCAAGTGACAGACCACGTGGTCACAGGAGCTGAGAGGGGAAGCATCAGGTGAGCGAGTAAACTCAGGAAAGGTAGTAGTCAGTATAAGACGGATGTGCACTAAATACCAAGAGGGGTTTTCCCTTTAATCCATGCTTCAAAAACAAATTTAAGGTAGAAGAGAAAATACAGTATATGGAGCTCTTTTAGGGTAGCAGCCAAACACGTTTGACATGATGTCACCAGTACTTCTTACGCAGTCCATGGGATAGTCATTACATGTCAGAATTGTAATTCAAAGCTTCTTCAGTTTTCCTTATTCACTGTGTAGCTTTCACATGTATATGAGATGGCTGAATATACCATGGCTTAGGGCAGCCACACTTTAGTTTTTATTTATGTTGCTGTGTAATTTATACTGAAAGCTATATAGCCTTTGACTTTCAACAGTAAATGCTTCCAGCCAGCATGGTGGTTTGCCTGTCCTAATCCTTAATGTGTTCATTCTTAGAAAACCCCACAGTGAATAAGGAAAATGTAGGAACTGATGCATTATGATACTGATAAGGATTAATAGTGGACTCTCAAAGATATTTTCATGATGTAACGTGTAATGGCTTACCTCCTACCAAAACATCTGAGGCCAGTCTTCCTCTTGTCATATGACTTGTGAATTCAAATCACTGGCCTCAGAATCACAATAAGTCAGAATCAACTCACTGGCAGTGGGTATTGGTTTTTTTTGGGAATACTAAAAGAACATTTGATTGTGCTTATGCGAAACCTATACTTGAACCAAGAGACATTTGTCAGAACAGAGGAAGGAGAATACTGCATGGTTCAGAATTGAGAAGGAGGTCCGCCAGAGATGTATTTTGTCTCCATACCTTTTCAATCTGTATGCAGAACAGATCATCCAGGAGGCTGGGCTGTATGAGGAATGTGGCATTAGGATTGGAGCAAGATTCATAACAACCTGTGTTGTGCAGATGTCACAACCCTGCTTGCTGAAATTGAGGAGGACTTGAAGCGCTTGCTGCAGAAGGTTAAGGACTTCATTATGGATTGAAGCTCAACATGAAGAAAACAAAGATTCTCACCACTGGGCCAATTGGCAGCATCATAATGGATGGTGAAGAGATTGAGATAGTTAACAATTTTAGTTTACTTGGCTCCACAGTCAACACTCTTGGTACCAGCAGCCAGGAAGTCAGGAGACAAATTGCACTGGGGAAGTCAGCTGTCAGGGACCTCTTCAGAGTACTGAAGAACCATGATGTCAGGCTGGAAACTAAGGTGCGCCTGATCCGGGCCATAGTCTTCACAGTTGCATGCTGTGCATCAGAGAGCTGGGCAGTGACTTAGGAAGATAGAAAGAGAATTGATGCCTTTGAGCTGTGGTGCTGGAGAAGAGTGTTGAATATACCATGGACTGCTAGGAGAACAAACAGCTTTCTTTGCCCTGGAGGCAAGGATTCTGAAGCTTTTTCTGACTTACTTTGGGCATGTTGCAAGGAGGGATCAGTTGTTGGAGAGGGACATCACAGTGCAGGAGAGGAAGACCCTCGATGAGATGGATCAATTCAGTGATTGGGATAATGGAAGTGTGTCAGAGATAGTGAGGTTGGCACAAGAAAGAGCAGGGTTTAGGGCTCTTGTACATAGGGTCACTACGCAAGCGACTCGGCGCCGTATAACAACAACTACAACAAAAGAAGGACAACCAGAATGCTTCATAGAAGTGAGGAGAACAGACTTTGCCTCATGAGCATTGAATAAGTTCTAAGGATGGAACCAATCCTGGGAGAAAGGTATACTTAGTAATGTAGAAGATCAGTGACACAGAGGAAGACTGTTACTAAGACGAGTGGGTAGAGTGGCTGCAACAGTGAAGTCTAACATAGCACGATTGTGAGAATAGCACAGTATTGGTCAGGGTTCCATTATGCATTCCATTTGGAAATGGAACTGACTTTTTGGCAGCTAACAAGAAGGACATGTTAAGACTGTATCTTAGGCAAATAAAATTTTAACATTTCACTTGCCGTGATTTGAAGAGTTATCATATTTAAGAACACATTTAATCTTTGAGAACCTGGCACTGAGCACTACTATTGAGTGAGTGAAGGTGACCTCCATCAAAGGAGAAGTGGAGCCTCGTCATGGACTGCAGGACACTTGATGTTAAGATATCAATGTCTTTCAAGTTGATTGATGATTTCATTGAGGTTCCAGTCAGGACCCCAAGAGGCTATTGTGTAGACATTAGTAAAACGACTTGGAATTTAATATGTGCGTGAAAGAAACCAGCATGACTCAAGAAAAGGAAAAAGCAAGCCTAAAATACCAGTTATGAGTTGATTTGACTGAGGTGCAGAAACCAGAAATGCCTAGTTAATTGACTTTTAGCTGAATTGCCAAGTTATTTTGATATAGAAGAATTCTTAATAGTGCTGGAAGGATGAGCTTCCTGTATACATAAAAATCAACTTAAAATTGTAGTATTAAGAGTAATCGCAAAATATTTGGAAAACCAAGATAATGTTCATGAACTAGGTGTGTTAGATCATGCAGAAGGGAGGGACCCTTGTTACAAGTGTTTAGAAATGCAGAAACCTTTGATCACAGAAGGAGGAAAAGATAAATGGGTGAGGATCAAAACCTAGAATATTTGTTCTTCAGCAGACGCTATTAAGAAACAAAAAGGGAAACAGTGAAGTGTCTTCTCAGTACATACATTTGAGAAAGAACTTGAATCTAGACTATATTAAAATTCATTACCCCAATAAAAAAAAGATAAGCAACTCAGGTAAAAATAAAAGGACAAAGGATTTTAATAGAAAGTTCACAGAAAGAGATCTACGAATGACCAGTATCACATCAGAATAGGCTTACTGTGGCAGACTTGGTTGTAAGTTGTCGCCAAATAGACTTAATAGAAGGAAACATGGCTTCATCCATCACGATCCTTACTGTCACTTAAGTCTACAGTTTAACCATTGTCTTGATCCCAGTCTTGGAAGATTGCTCTTATTTACTGACATTATCTTGTAGTTGGCCTTGGTGATATGTAAAATAAATAAGGTGAAATATAAAGATAAGTAAATAAGGTAAAGTGTTGACAACACTTCTGTGCTGAAAGCAGTTCTGACTGTATATTCCCTTTGGCAGTCATTTTGCTGTCAGGAGCATTCCAGAAAGTGCTTTACCAATTAGAACAATGTTCTCCCCAAACAAAACACTGCCAATTTAGTTAGAAACTCTAAGGAGTTTGTCAGGGAGGTGTCCTGTTGCCATACCTTTTCAATTATACTCAGACCGATCATTCGGGAGGCTAGGCTCTATGAGGAGGAATGTGGCTTCAGGATTGGATGAAGACTTATCAACAAGCTGTGATATACAGATGACACAACCTTGCTTGCCGAAACTGAAGAGAACTTGAAGCACTTGGTACAAAAAGTTAAGGACTGTAGTCTTCAATATGAATTGAAGCTCCCCATGATTAAGAGAAAGATTCTCGCCACCGGGCCAATTGGCAGCACCTGATAGATGGAAAAGTGATTGAAATTGTTAACAGTTAAAGCTTACTCAGCTCCACAGTCAACACTCTTGGCCTCAGCAGTCAGGAAATCAAAACACAAATTGCACTGGGTAAATCTGCTATCAGGGACCTCTCTAGAATACTGAGAATCAACAGTCAGCCTAGAGACTAAGGGGCACCTGCTCTAAGCCATGGCCTTTGCAATTACTTACTGTTCATGAGAGAGCTAGATAATAATAAAGGATGATAGAGGAAGAAGACCCAATGGCTTTGAGTTGTGGTGCTGGAGAAGAGTGTTGAAAATACTGTGGATTGCCAGGAGAACAAATAGATCTATCTTGGAGAGTGGGAAGCCAGGTTTCTCCTTGGAGGCTACAATTTGAAGCTCTATTTCACGTACTTTGGGCATGTATCCAGGAGGGACTGCCCTTAAAGAAGGACTTGATGCTCAGGAGGAGGGAGGGACATCGCAAGAGTGGAAGACCCCAAATGGGATGGATTGACACAGTAACTGGAGTAATAGGGGTATGTGTGTTGGTATTAGTAACTGGGCCAGAGTAGGCCAGGCTTCAGAGTTGTTAAACATAGGGATGCGATGAGTCTCAAGCAGTGTGACTACACATATTGTCAATAACAACAATAGCAAATTAGCCTTCACACCAGAACCTTGGGCCCAACTGATTTTTAATCATGAATGCCTGCCCACCGGGTCCTGATTGGTTTAAACAAGAGGTTTCCAGACCACAGTTGGTAATGAAATCAAAACAGCCTATCCATTTACACCTGATTGTTTTGATCAAAACAACCAATCAGCTTTTACCTGTTCATAGGGCCACTATGAGTTCTATGTGACTCAACGGCACCTAACAAGAAGCATGATGTTGCTGGTCCAGTCATATTGGACCGCATGATGATAGGTTCTTGTGAAATGAAGACATCATTTATCACAATCAGCTATTATTCTCCTAGGTTTCATCTGGGATCCAACTTCTAGTATCTACCATCTACCTTCACAAAATCTAGCTTTACTGTTGTTGCTAAGTGCCATCAATTCAGACCAACTCATAGCTCCCCCTACATTGGGTTTCAGAGACTGTAAATCACAAGGAGGGAGCTCTGGTGGCCTAGTGGCAAGAAGCTGTGCTGTAATCCCAAAGTCTCATGGTTTGAATCTATCAGCTGCTCTGCAAGAGTATAGTTAGTTTCCTCCTGTATGATTTACTGCCTCTGAAAACCCACTGGAGAGTCAGCTATGGGTCAGTTCCAGTTCACTGGCACACACCACCACCAGTAAGTCACAAGGGAGGAGACTGCCCACCATTTTTCCTTGGAGCCGCTGGTGGATTCAGATTGCTTGCCTTTCGGTTGGTAGCACAACTCCTTACACCCTAGGCCACCAGAGTACAAGTACTGTTAGTTCTCAGTTCATGATAGTCTATACCTGGAATCAGATCCAAACCTGGGAAGAAATATTCGATGACTGAAAAACAAATTATGAAGTATCCTAACATATCCTAACAATTGAACACTAATAAGCTATAACAGAGGCATCTGCCTCGGGAGGATGGGTGATCTCTGTGCATGTGCTTTCAGTGGCACACTGAAAAGAGCACTTCTGTGTGACGGACCCTGTCATGAAGTGATGGAGACCAAGAGCATGTTGGGGTGTCTCAGTATAGAGAGGGGCTGCTGGGCTGCGCTTTGTGGGGTGATGACAATGCCAAGTTGATGGTGTGGAAGTGTCCGAAGTCATTCAACTCTAGACTTAAAAATGTGTGTCTTTTATTGTATTTAAGCTATGTCTTTATTAAGTAATTTAAAAATAATAATAATTAAAAACAGATAGGCTGCAGTGTGGGAGAAGATAATTTGCAAGAGAAGCTTTGCTCCCCGAATCTGTAAAATAAATTTATCTTTGAGTATAAAGCATGCGTTCCCTCGTCATTTCTGTCTGGAGTTTCATCCAGTGTTCTGGGATGATCTGAAAGGACTGGGAGGTGGTTTGGAGAGGGGATTTTTCCTTCTGTCCATTTCTTGTTTATTTTTGTTCCATGCACCATCAGTCTGTCTGGATGTATGTGTGCCACTTCTCTCTAAAATGTCATTATGGTTTGCTAACAAAGGGGAAACCGTAGAATCAATTTGAAGACGATGCAGCAGGGATTCGTGGATCACACATTTAAGGCCCTTCAGTGGCAGCATGCCTGGTACATTGTGATGACATCAACTCATGCTGTGGACTCTTGGGGTGGAATGTGTTCGACCAGACATAAAGGCCTGTCATCTTCTCTTCTTTCTTCTAGATTTTCCCGAGTCTGACAAATTGACTTTATTTATTGCAAACATGTGGCATGACATATTTATCTCCCAGTCTGTGATTAACAAAGCTATGCAGCTGGTGGCTCGGCAGCGTGCGAAAGGCGAGGTCCTGAACTGTCTCAGAGCTTTCCTCAACTGGGAAAAGGTGAGTTTTGTTCCATCTTTTAATATCCCACACACTCAGAGCCGACACATGAGCTGCTGCCTTTTGTCTGCATTTGTATTGCTACTTAGGCATTTAAAAGATTCAATTCTATTAGGTTCATTTCAATATCATTTTAGCTTCTGCTCTGAATTTTGTTCATGTATTTGCTTGCATTCCAAGAGTAACTATAGATCTGTGTGTTCTATTGTTTTAAAACGTTTCTTAGTTACTGATTTATGACTCTTGAATAAAGACCATACATATGTACATATGCATATGCTTTTCCAATAAAGGGCTCAGAGAATGTCTAGATTATTTGCTTATATAATACATTCCTTCATAGGTGATTTGAATACAACTGATAGCTCAACTCCTTTTTTAAATCTAATATTCTCTTTGTCTTCCCTGTGGAAGGAGTTGATATTTCCCCGTGTTGCCTTTTATTTTTTTCTTTACTGATCAGCATGCTAAACTAGTCTCTAGATGTGTCCTTTTATTCATAGATCTTATGAGCATCTCTGAATGCTGTTTGGAAACTGAAAAAAGGTACTTAAGTCATTGAAGTCTGGATAATGTTCTTCTTTAATGTAAAAGCATATTTTCTTTCATAAAACCTCTCCCTGGCTTTGTGCCTGGGGTGAACTTGGTTCTGCTGTTTTTATTGTGCTCATATTCACTTATAATTTATATTTTGTAAAATGTAAGAGAAATGGCTCTCACTCATGCACGAGTTTGTCATCCTGTCATGTCTCAGATGTTGCAGTGAGAATGAAATTGATGTCCTAGCATGTCAAGTACTGTAGGGTCACCATGGTGGGTCCATGTCAGTGGAGCTTCTAGACTAAATCAGAGAAGGGCCTGGTGGTCTATTTCTAAAACAGTGATTCGTGAAACTTCACGACTAGCAGCAGAACGTTGTCTGGTACAGTGCGGGAGTGCTAGCCCCTCAGGGCTCACGGAGGCACTGAGGAGGAGTCAGCGTAGACCAGACCAGTGTGACGCCGGTAGACCAGAAATGTCAGGACTCTTCTTTGACTCAGTCTTGCCACTGCTCAAAATGAAAAGCCACTGCAGAGATCCATTAATGTTGGAAAATGAAATTTAAGGGCTAGGAATCAAGGAAAATTGGAAGTTGTCAAAAATAAAATGGGACACATAAAGATTGTTATCCTTGGTGTTAGCAGCAGAAATGAGCCAGACCATTTTGAATTGCACAGTTACGTGGTCTGCTATGAGATAATTGAAAGAGTCCACATTCATTTAAAAAAAAAAGTCATGATCTAACTTGAATTACAGTACTGTCAATGATAAGATAGTATCTGTGCATATGCAAGGAAGACTTGTTAATAAACCTGTTATTCACATTAATTCACCTGTCACTAAAGCCGTAAGTTAAGACAGTTATTATTTCCATCTACTCTACTTGTTCAGTCTAAAGTCAGTCAGGAGGTACTGATCGTTCCTAGTAATTGGTAAGCACAAGTTAAAAATAGGCACAAATAGGTGGAGATGCACGTGATGGCCTTGGTGGTAGAATGATGCAATGACCTACTTGTAAAAAATCATTTTGTCCAACAAAAATCTTTTTTTCCAGCAACATAAAAAGCAACTTTACACATAGACCCCATTGTGAGGAGTACACAGAAATCAGAGTCCATCTTTTGAAAGAGATTTGATGGAGAATAGATAGGACCAGGGGTCAGAAGTGAACAGTCACTTGCTCATATGCAAGTTGAATTTGAAGCTGAAGAAGAAGTCAAGTCAGCTAAAGAATGACTTTACGTTTAAGAGGGTCTCAGGAATTGACTAATGATCGAAGACCAGACCAACTCTGGAAGGACATCATATGTGAGGAGTGAGCCAAAGGTCATTGAAGCGATAGGAAAGACAGTACCAAGTTGGATGTCAGGATAGACTCTGGAGCTTGATTGCAGAGTAGCCAAAATGAATGCAAAAAGTGAACAGCTAGTCGAATGAAAGACTTGAAAAGCTGCAATATGACAACTATGTGTTGTCATAAAATGTGGCAAGAAGTGTAATAAAACGAAAAGGAAACTGAGTCACCATGTCCAAAAGAACTGGTGAACATTGAGTCATTTCAGAAGGTAACATGTGATTAAGAACTGATTGTGTTTAGGAAGATGCACCAAAGGCATTGCTGAAAAGTCCTCCAAATATGTCAACAGCACCTAACAAGCCCAGGAAGGGAGGGAAGAGCTGTTGACAGAACAACATTTAGTAAATGATAGATATTACCAGTAGATAAGTAAACATCTCCCAGGGGCTGTATAGAAAAAAACCTTTATAACACCATCGAGGGTGTGTCTCACTTCGCCCTCCAGCACTTGGAGGAGTGCTTTCTTCTCCTGCCCTGTCACGTCCACTCTGAATTTCCTCTCCAGCACCCCTTGCTTGCCTTCGCCTATGGGCAGTTGTCCTTCCTGGAGCTGGGGCTCCCAGTGTGGAACACACCTGCCCTTTTTGCCTGCTCAGATGAAAAGTGATAGCCAAAGGCATCCTATGTGAAGAGCACAGAGGTTTAGTAAATTGATTTCCAAGTATTTCTAATAATAGTTTAAATCAGAAAGATCAGGACACTTTCAGGGGGAAATACCATTATGTTGTTGTTGTTGTTATGTGCCTTTGAGTCTCTTGCAACTCATAGCGACCCTATGTACAACAGCCCTAAACTCCGCTCTGTCCTGTGCCAATCGCAGTCTCTGACACTCCCATCCCGATTATCCCAATCACTGAATCAGTTCACCTCATAGAGGGCCTTCCGCTCCTGCACTGTCCCTCCACCCTCCCAAGCATGATGTCCTTCTCCAAGGACTGGTCTCTCCTCACAACCTGTCCAAAGTATGTTAGACGGAGCCTCAGAATCCTTGCCTCCAAGGAGCCACCTGGTTTAACCCTTTCCAGGACAAATCTGTTTGTTTTC